AGATGATTTGACATTATTTTGCTTACTTGCTAATTGTGAGCCTTTAGACTTTGAAGAAGCAGTTCAAGATCCAAATTCGAGATCAACTATGGATGAAGAGATCAAGACTATCAAGACGAATGATACCTGGGAGCTTACAATACTTTCAGAAGGCAGGAAAGCACCTGAAGTCAAATGGATATTCAAAGAGAAGAAGAATGTAAAAGAAGAAGTTGAGAGGTACAAGGTTAGTTGCCAAAGGCTACAAGCAGAAAGCTGGAATTGACTATGATTAGGTATTCTCTCTAGTGGTTCATCTTGAAACTATAAGGCTAATTATTTCCTTAGCAGCTCAGAACAAATGGCTAATATATCAACTTGATGTGAAGTCTGCATATTTAAATGTTGTCTTGAAGAAAAGGTCTATGTGGATCAACCTCTTGGATACATCATGAAAGGAGAATAATCAAAGGTGTTGAAGTTGAAGTAAGCTCTTTATGGCTTGAAACAAGCTCCAAAATCTTAGAATAACTGACTTTTGAGCTCGCAATTTTTCTAGATGTCCTTATAAGAAATATGCCTTACATACTAAGGTAAATGAAGAATGAGATATTCTTATTTTATGCTTACATGTGGATGACTTAATCTTTGCAAGAAACAATCCACGCATGTTCAAGGAGTTCAAAAGCTCCATGGTTCGTGAGTTTGAGATGACAAATATCGGACTCATGTCTTATTACCTTAGCATCAAGGTGAAGCAATATCGAGACTCATGTCTTATTACCTTAGCAGGGATATGTAAAGACAATTCTTTATAAGTTTGATATGAAGGATAGCAATCCTGTCAGTACTCCTATTGGATGTGGAATCAAGTTATCCAAGAAAGATGGTGGAAGCAAACTTGGTACTTGTTGCAGATACATGGAAGACCTCGGTATATCAAAGGATAGCAATCCATGTATCTGCTCACGAGGTCTGACAGGAAGATCCGAGGTCTTCGTACTTGTTGGCAGCAAAGAGGATTCTCTGGTATATCAAAGGTAAAAGATTTTGGTTTGTTTTATTCAAGTTCTTATAAGTTTGAACTTGTTGCATAAACTGATAGCGATTGGGCGGAGATGTTGATGACCAAAAGAGTATAACTGGTTACACTTTCTTTATTGGTGACATTGCGTTTACTACGTCTTCAAAGAAGCAGCAGATGGTAACTCTTTTAACTTGTGAAGCTGAATATGTTGCTACATCATCGAGTGTCACTCATGCACTTTGGTTGAAAATTTTGTTCAAAGATCTTCAGTTTGAACAAGAAGAACCGACCAAAATCCGTGTTGATAATAAGTCGGCTATTGTACTTTTAAAAAATTTAGTGTTTCATGAAAGGAGCAAAAAAACATATCGATATATGATATCATTTTATCAGCGATCAAGTAAATACTAAGGAAGTTGAGCTCGAGTTTGTGAAATCACAAGATCAGGTGGTTGACATATTTACTAAGCCATTAAAACATGATGTATTTACTTTATTGCGAGGCAAACTCGAGGTGGCTGAAGAATCAAACTTAGTGGATAATATTGAAAATAAAGTTGATTAATTACCTTGAGAATTAGAAGGATTATTTAGTTATTTGAGGAGTCAAATGCATGAATATGTTAGATATATGAATGTTGTTGGAAAGTTTAAAAGTTTTTGTTAGGAAGTCTAAGAGTTATTGTACTAGTGTATGCGCGCGTGCGCGTGTGTTTTGTATAAGTTGAAAGATGCAAAGCAAAAAAAAAAAAAAATCAAACAATAATTTTATCCTCCTCCTAATCATTTATCCTAGGGAAAATATTCCTATAAGATACAGTCCATATTTTTGCCCCCCCCCCAAAAAAAAAAAAACAAAAAACAAAACAAAAAACCTACATCGTGTGTGTTCTGTGCATTTTTTTTGGCATCCATCTTTGAGTCTTAGGGAATCTTCTACAAAACATTGTGTCATGACCTACAATTCAGGCCTGTCAATGCCGGCCGGCCCGGCCCGAGAATCCGGGCCCGTGGGCGGGCAAACCCGGAGCCCGGACCCGGACCCGGGTACCCCGGCGTCCGGCCCAACCGGGCCGGGCTCCGGGTCGGCCCGGATTTTTTTCAATTTTTTTCTTTTCTTTTTTTTGATAAAAAATGCTAAAAATTAGTTTAATTTATTATATTTTTATATAATTATGTATTAGTATATACTTATAAATTATTATGTAATATATATTATATATACATAATATTATATATATTATATATACATATATTATATGTAAATATATATATATATTTATAATCTATAACTTGAGAAGAGAGAAAATCGCATAGTAGCCATTGCCCGTTGGGGCAATGAGAAGAAGTAGCCGTTGTAATATACTATACTTCTATATACTAGAGAGAGAGTATACACACACATATTATACATATATAAGAGAGAGTATACTTTATATAGAGGGAGTATACATATATAAGAGAGAGTATTACCTTTATAAGAGGGGAGTATACATATTATACTATATAAAATAAGAGAGTGTATACCTATATATATACTTATATAAGAGAGAGTATACATATATAAGAGAGAGTATATTATATATTACATATATACTAAAGAGAGAGGTATACACACACCACACACACACACATATTATACATATTATAAGAGAGAGTATACTTTATATATACATATATACTAAGAGGAGAGGAGTATATACATATACACACATATATGTATACATATATAAGAGCGTGATACTTATATATACTTATATAGAGAGACTAACATATATAAGAGAGAGTATACTTATATATATCATATATACTAAGAGAGAGAGTACACACACACACACACATATTATACATATATAGAGAGAGTATACTTATATATACATATATACTAAGAGAGAGAGTATATATATATACACACATATATGTATACATATATATGAGAGTGTATACCTATATATACTTATTAAGAGAGAGTATACATATATAGAGAAAGTATACTTATATATACATGTATAGTATAGAAAGAGTATAGATATACATACATACATACATTATACATATATAAGAGAGAGTATATACACACACACATATTATACATATATAGAAATATATTATATATACATAATATATATATATATATATATAATATATATATATATATTATATATATATATATATATATATATATATATATATATATATATATATATATATATATATATATATATATATATATATATATATATATATATTATACATATATAAAAATATATTATATATACATATATTATACATATATAATACATATAAAAAATAAAAAAAAATAAAAATACTATTCCGGCCGGCGCGGGCCCGGGCCGGGCACCAAAAAGGCGGACTTGGCCGGCCCGGGAGCCCGCGACTTGGCCCGGCATGGAGGCCCGGACTTGGCCCGGGTTTTCGGGCCGAGGCCGGCGCCGGGCGGGCCGGCGCCACGGGCCGGCGGGCTTTTTGGACATCCCTACCTACAATCTTGCAACTATCACACCATTTTGGTTTCAATTCATAAATCACCTTTTGCTTTATCATCACACCATTTGGGCCATGTATTGATATTTGATCTGGAAGTGAAGAGGGCATATATAATTCCTGTGCAGAGAATATTAGTAAACCATAGAATTACAATATGTACTTAGGTTGGTACGTCATACGTGTTGTAATAATTTGTAATAAAAATAGCCTTTTGGGATAAAAATAAGCTACACTACTTTTTTTTTTTTTTTGGGTCAATGAAAAGAATTTATTCATAAACCAAAGTAGTGAAATCTGTACACATCAAGAATCTCACTTGTTGTGAGATATCAAAAGAATTTATTCGCTTAACTCCTTTCCTGAAACCCCCTCCTCTTAGCTTAGTACAATACCAATCTAAAAGGAGTCTCCATTCGCTTAACTCCTTTCCTGAAACCCCCTCCTCTTAGCTTAGTACAATACCAATCTAAAAGGAGTCTCCAATTGCATGATTTCCATTTAAAGCTCCCCTCCTCTTAGCTTAGTACAATACCAATCTAAAAGGAGTCTCCAATTGCATGATTTCCATTTAAAGCTCAGCCATTCCATAATTCTGTTCCATACTGTACTAGAGAAAGAACATTCAAAAAATAGATGATCTCTTGTTTCCTGACCTGCACCCGAGCACAAGTAACATGCATTTTCATTGATTGTCCCTCTTCTCATCAGTCTGTCCTGAGTTAAAAGCCTGTTTTGGATTGTAAGCCAACATACAAAAGCATGCTTAGGATAGCACATATTATCCCACACTGTATTGTGCCATTGTACCTTCTGCGTAGAACTATATAATGCATAGTATAATGATGATAATAAGGTTTAACAGGTTGTCAACTCCTCCACAAAGAAGAATTGCTTTATCTCTTTGCTTGATCATTTGCTTCCACATCCATGAGTCACTCTTTCTGACAGTTACATGCCATATATCTCTTTGGTTTAAGTAATTTCCATGGACCCATTTGATCCAAAGGGATTCCTTATGCATATGTATACACCAAATATTCTTCAAAGTTGCTGCCAGGTTCCAAATTGTAGCTGAGAAAATACCCAGTCCTCCTTGTTTCTTACCCTGACAAACAATATGCCATGCCACTAAGGGGGGTTTCTGAGACAAATTTGTTCTCCTCCATAGGAAACTAACACTTACTTTTCATCCATCGTTGGTGAGGGCACGCCATCTCGCAGTGCTTATGGATGTAAAGTTTGGTAGTAAAGTAGTCAACCCGATTAAGAGCTAGATTAATTGCAAGTACTTGAATTCCTGCAGAATAGCTCGATTTATGATTGCAAAGCTCGTAAAGCTCCTTTATGACCGTACACGATACCTCAGGCATCAATCATGTTAGACTAGAAGGCAGGGAATATGTTTGCCTTAGGTGAAAATTAAGAAAATGGCACGTAAATAATAAATAAAACCTCACAGGTGCCATTTTCTCTAATATTCATAATGCAATTGTCCGTTTTAATCTTCCTTTCCCTATATATAAGAGGATAACAAACTGCAAACTTGTGTCTAGTGTCAAAAATTAAGAGAGGCATCCCTCTCGTTAGAAACATGATATATCTCTTTACATGTCTCCTCTCATTCTTTCGAAGCAAACCTCGTGTCATGAGATCAAAAACTCTCCCTCTTAATCCTGCCGAACTCTCCACCAAAGCCCTGGTGTTTGATGTGGAGGGGGGTCTTTTGAGATCTTCGTCTTCCTTTCCATACTTCATGCTTGTGGCCTTGGAAGAAGGAGGGCTCTTGAGGGGTCTTATCCTCTTGCTTTCTTATCCATTAGTTTGTTGTCTAAGTCAAGAGATGGGGATTAGGGTTATGGTGATGGTTTCCTTTTGTGGATTGAGTAAGAAAAGTTTTGCGGCAGGGAGAGTTGTTTTGCCGAAGTTTTTGTTGGAGGATGTAGGGTTGGAAGGGTTAGCGTTGATGAGGAGAGGAAAGAGGAGAGTTTGTGTGAGTAGGATGCCAAGAGTGATGGTGGAGTGGTTCTTGAAGGAGTATTTGGATGTGGAGGTGGTAGTTGGGAGAGAGCTGAAGGTGTTTTGCGGGTACTACACTGGTTTTTTGGAAGCGGGGGATATTGAGGCGGTGAAACAAGAGGTTGATGGTTATGTTGGCGTGTTGAACCTAACCACTAAGCCTTTTCATATGCCACTCTTCTTATATATACGTTGGATAATTTGCTTTATATATATATGTGTGTATACATTTACATATATACATTATATCATGAAATTAGTTTCAATAATAAGTTATATTTCTCATATTAGAAAGGATATTTTTTTTAAATCTTTTTGAAGGTATGTTGGGGTACCCTCAAGAAAGAAGGTGCGGCGGGCCTGAGAAGAGTACATTTGTTGGGTGTAGGTGGGGGGGTTGGGGATTTGGATTTGAGTAAATGGGATTTTAAATTATTAGGTATCCGTCACATTACACCTCCAAATCTTTGTTAATTACACCCTCAAGTTTTCATATTTCTAATGTGAAATGCCAAAATCATTAAGTTGTTTTGGAAAAAAAAACCTAAACCTAATGAGTTATTTTAAATAACAGTGCTCTCACATCTGTTAACTTGATTTAAATAAATCCTCATTTCAAACCAATATGAAGATTTAAGGTCTAATTTATAAATATAAAAATTTAAGCATTTAAAATAAAGTAACTAAGGTTGTACAGGTTGAATATGAAAAATTATTTTTTTTATAAATATAATGCACGTGCTTTGCACGTGGACATGCTATTTTTCGTTTTGAATTCTTTTTCTTTGAGTGCAAAATTGTGAAGTGACTATAGTAATAATATAAATTCTTTTATTGATACATAAAGTTATGTATAAAGATATGTGTGAGTATTTTTTATATTTTAGACACTTATTATAATTTAATCATAATTTGTTTAGATATTTATAACAAACTAAATAATTATTTAATACTATAATATAAAATTATAAATACTTTTAACTATAACATAGAATAATTATAATAAATTATATACTATTTATAACTATTTTTATTTCTAATATTTATATATAGCATAATTATAATACTATTATTCACTATAATGTATTAAATAATAGTGAAATTCATAGTTAGGTTATAATATTAAATAATTATATTATTTTACTATTAAATATTTACTCAATTTTACCGTATTATTTATTCAATAATATACTTTTTAAAGAATGTTTAATAATGTATTATTTTATTTACAATAGTATTTTATTATAATTTATAAATAGGCTTTTAACATTTTAATAATATATTATTTAATAAAAAATTTATAGTCATTTTATAAAATATTTTATTACATTGATTATTTTATACTATTTTATTATGATTAAAAAATATTTATATAAATTACACTATATTTTATAAATTTTCTTATCATTATGAAAGTATTTATATTAATTACAGTTTAGTGAATGCCTAAATATACGGGAAAGTGAGGAGGTCTATAATTAATGCGATGTTTTGGATAATTAGTTAAAGTTTAATTACAATTAATATTATAATTGTAAGTTATCAAATTTTGAGAGAGCAAAAATGAAAATCAAAAGTTTTGACATGAGTATTCTCTTTCGTAAGTAGCATAGATATTACATGCATGTATACTAAAGTAATTTGAATTATTTGAGGGACTTATTTATATATGAAATATTTAAGAGGGACTAATATCGGAAGAAAGAAAAAAGCCTGCTAAATGATATGGACAATAAAATATTAGCTGCGGATGTATGTCAATTACATTTGGTAACGCTATTAATTACAATCCATAAGACTGTAATTCCAAGGTTTGTTCCAAACAATATATGCTTGATATCTACTGAATGCGACTGAAATCAAAGTACTAACATGGTTGTTAGACTTGTTAATTAATAGGAAACAAAAATGTGGAAGGAGCAGCATGTTCATGTTAGAATGTCAGACAATAACCCTAAACCATCCCACAATTTTGGAGTTTTGGTGTTATGATTAGGGACTAAAGATGGTATATATCAAGCAACTCAAATTCAAATTTTACATGCCACGAATTTAAAGTGGTTTCTCTAAAAATTAACATCATTGTGTGAGTCCAGTTTTCGGCTCATAAAAAGGACGATCAACCTACGGGCACATTGCTAGAATATAGAATTATAATTCTCAACTCTCACCGCAACTTTAAAGTTTTGATCTAATAGTTAGAAAAGGACTTGGGGATCATGTAGGCAACACCCACGATAGCTATAATTGCCATCTACCTGTACTGTACTCGCACTTAATATGATCTTCCTACATTTTCTCCCCCATTTGTCACAAGCATCTCTCATTGTTTTTGTCAAGAACTAACAAACTTTTACTATCTCTTGGTCCAGGAACTTTACATTGTAAGTGAAGCAGAAAAACGAAGGTGGCACCCTTTGCCCAGGGAAAAATACCCCAAACCCCTCATCTTTCACGATGGCAGGATCGCATTCAGACCCAACCCCATCAACACGACCGCAATGTTCATGTGGCTTCCTCTTGGGCTCACCCTAGCCATCTCCAGGCTAATCATAGGCCTCACTCTCCCGTACAATATCTCCACCCCTCTCTTAGCATCAACCTCCATGAAATGGAGGCTCAAGGGAACCATCCCACATTCTCTCCTCTCCAAAGCCCACCTCCTGGTTTGTAACCACCGGACCCTCCTCGACCCCGTCTACATCAACGTCGCCCTTAACAAACCGGTGTCCACCGTCACCTACAGCTTGAGCAGAGTCTCCGAGATCCTATCGCCGATCAAGACGGTCAGGCTGACGAGGAAACGTGATGTTGATCGTGTTGCGATGGAGGGAATGCTGAGCTACGGACACAACCTCGTGGTGTGCCCGGAGGGGACTACTTGTAGGGAGCCGTATCTTCTCCGATTCAGCCCTCTTTTCACGGAGTTGGCCGATGAGATCGTGGCCGTGGCCGTGGATGTTAGGGTGAGCATGTTCTACGCTACGACTGCCGGAGGATTCAAGGGGTTTGATGCGTTGTTCTACTTGCTCAACCCGAGTATGTGCTATGAGGTTGAGTTTCTTGAGACGGTTGATACAGGTTGCGTTAGGAGAGGGGAGGTGAGCAGCACTGATATGGCTAATGTGGTCCAAGGAGTGATTGGGAGAGCTTTGGGGTTTGAGTGCACCAAATTGACACGGAGGGATAAGTACATGGTGCTTGCAGGGAACGACGTGATTGTTGAGACAAATGAGAAGAAAACTAAGGGGTAAAGAAAAGTACGAAATGGGATTACGTATACGCATATAGTTCGGGTAGTGAAAAAAATTGCATTGCACGACGTTTTGTTTCAACTGTAATTTTATTGTGCTTATAATTTCTTGAATATTTACATAACAAACGTCGACTATACAATAGATATCGATATATATTCTGCACATACTGTTTTGGTTTATATTGGACTTCTTGCAATATAAAAACTAAATATAGCCTATGTTGTTTAATTAGGAGTAATGATTTTATCAAAACACCCTCAGAAATGGGTGAACTATACCATTCACGGGTGGTTAAAGAGTTATCCTATTAACGGTGTAAATCACACCACTCTTATATGAATGGTTCTGATAGAATCCCTACTCGCTGTTTAGCAGTTTGCACTAGATCATAGCAAAAATTGGACTCTAGTGACACAAATTTAAGAGCCAAACTGGACAAAATGAAAATGACCCAACAGGAGGACAAACTCGATTTGACACGAGAAGACCAACCTAAATGTTGTGCGCGCTGTAGGCGTCAAAAATTGCTTATGAGATCCTGCACGCAGCTCGAAACGAAGAGTGGACGCGTCAAGAAGGATTATCCAATTGGCCGATGCGCACGTCAGTCAACGCACGCACATCAATCAGCTCGCGCGCGTCGGTCAACTCAAAGTGACCGAACGCGCTCGTCAGTCAGCTCGCGCGCATAGGTCAGCTCGCGCGCGTCGGTCAGCCTGCGCACGTCAGTCAACACGTGTACGTCAATCAGCTCACGCACGTCAATCAGCCCCAAGTGACCGACGCGTTCGTCGGTCAGTCCCTCAGCGAAGCGTACAAGCCAACGAGACGACCAAATACGCAAAACGATGGAGAATACAAGTCCAGGAAATTCAAAAAACACCGAAAAGCGAAAAGAGAGCGAAAAAGCCTCGGAACCCGCGCCCACGCGGGTCACCAGTGACTGTCGCGCAGTTTCGACCCCCAAACACGTTTTCGACGGTTTTTAAAAGGTTTTCACAGGATTTATCTATTCCAGGGGTTCCCAACTGACTTGATATCATCCACAAACGTGGTTAGGCCGTTACTGACTGAAGATAAGGCCAAATTGCTCATTCTCATCCAAATACCCGCATCTGAGGCCTATAAATATAAGCCTAAGGCTTCCATTCTACAGATCAAAAATTTTATCAAGAGAGAGAGATGCTGCTGGATTGAGGAGTCAAGGAGCACGAAATTTTAGCGAAGGTCAATCAGATCCTGACGAACTTCAGTATAAAGAGGAAGGCTTTCGAATGATCTGCACCCGTATTCCCCCGTCTGTTCCTTGAGATTAGGTTTAGTCTTTGTAGGCGTATAAAATTGCTTATAGGTCCCTTAGTACAGCTCGGCACAAACCGACGAACCAACGAGGCGACGAGGTTGACGAATCGCACGCAAGCATCGGAATACATCCATTCGCGTGTGGAATCAAGCCAAGGGTTCGAAGAGTCAACGAGTCATCCAACCAAGGGCAGACTCGGACGAATCACGATCGAATCAAGATCAGTTTCGGACTCGAACTCAGAAGTAGATTTACTACCAAATCAGGAATCGGATTTACTACCAAATCAGATCAACAAATCAGAGTCTAAGTCAACCGAATCACGGACTGAACCGAAAACACAAAACAACGAAACCCAACGCCTAAGGGGGGCTCGGCCAAGGCCGAGCCACCCATGGGTGGCTCGGCCAAGAGCCGAGCCACCCATGGGTGGCTCGGCCCAGTGTCGGCCACCCATAGGTGGCCGACCCAGATCTGTGCGCGGGCACAGTTCAGAGAGCCTATAAATAGGCCCCCTTGGTTCATTTTTCAAAGGTTGGAACTTTGAGAGCCGAAACTCTGCCAAATTGAGAATCGAGCTTGGAGTTTTGAAGACTTGAGGACTTGAACATTCAGATCTGGTTCTCGGCGAGCGTCCACGTCACAAAAGGCAGGAGTTCGAGAGAGAGAGGGATCAGATTTGAGATCTACACGAGATCATACTCCGGATCAAAGCTTGGCCTTTGATCCCGAGAACTAAGGGCGATTATTTCCTTGGTGAATTAATCCCCCCGGCTATTATTTCCTTCGCGAAATAATACCCGTCAAATTGTGTAGATCCGACCGGATCTAGATCGCGCTGTGGTCCACGGATTAACCCCGGCGTTGGCAAAGAACCCACACAAGCGAGCGACCGCAAAACAGGAGCTCGTGATTCGTTCGAAAGGAAAGTTGTAATCTTTTTCTTTTTCTTTGATTTCGTTGTAACCGGATCTAAAAAAGACCGGATCTTTTGTAACCAAAAAGCAATTACTTGAGATAACAATGAATTCAATGAAGGCAATTTTCACCGCGAACAATCTGGCGACCACAGTGGGAGCCACATATCTCGCTGCCGAGATCGTCACGTCACAGCCGCGGATCTCAATCCCGGTCGAGGAGGAGGTCGAGTATGAATTCGACCAGGCCAAGTTCGAGGAGTACCTCTCATCCTCGTCCGGATCTACCTCCCCCCGCAAGTCCAAGAAGTTCTCCTCCAGGAGAAAAGCTCGTTGGTTTGAAGAAGTCAACGAAGATCTCGCCCCGTTTGATGCCAAAGTCGCATCGGGTGAGATTCCTCCAATTCCCAACCAGGTCGGATCTGCTCTGGCCAACCCTTCTGCCGCAGGGGGCGTGGTGACTCTCTCGAGAGAGCCCGCCAAAGGCAACGTCAACGCCTTGCGAAACAATTCGCAAAGGCCATGGAGTCTGTTGACGGGATCCGCTACAATGCGGATCTGAAGAACAAAAGAGGAAAAAAGCCTCAACAATCAATGAATGGTGGTTCCTCCATGCCGTCAACAATGGAATGGGTCCGTGTCAAACGGAACCGATCAACGCTGGAGGAGCGCATTCGCAAGTGCCGCGCACTATCAGCGCAGGCACGGGCTCAAGTTGAAGAAGCCCGTAGGAAGTTGCAGAAAGAGGTGGCCAAGAAGCCGCCATCAACCAGCAAAGTTTGGAGGCCGAAGTCTGAAGCGGCGGTTCAAACCAAAGAGCGTCAACTGCAGCCGTCGAAAGTTCAACTTCCGGCGAATCAATCCAAACCGCCGATGATTTCCACAACTGCTCCGGGAGATCCCGCAGGACCATCCCAGAAAAGGAAGTCAGTCTTGGAGCGCCTCGGTCCAATTCCCGATGAAAAAGGCAAAGTTCCAGTTCAGGAACGTTTGAGCCCGCTGAAGAAGCCCCGAACGACTCAACACGCTAGGGGTCGCCGTCACCTCCAACGTGACAAGGAGCTCAAGGCAATTGTACGCACTAATTTGCGCATCGAAGTCCAAGAGCCCGCTAAGAACTCACGCCCAAAAAGGCATGTCTCGAGGCGCGTGACTCTTGAGAGCCCAAAGAAGGCAGTTCACTCACAGAAGGAAACGTTATCGTCTGATGATGATTGCGTTATACCTGAGAAATTGTGCCAACACACGATAGGTTGCTCCGACTTTCAAACGGAAGAGCTGTACTATCGTGCTGGGGGTACGAGCAAAGCCAGAAAGAGAAGTCCTCGAAGGCTAGAAACTCAGTGCCCTTGTTCAAGGCTCATTCGGGCGGTACTGTCTGAGTGCAACTGCATCAAGGCAGTCCCCGAGAGAATTTCAGTGTTCGAAAGGCTTAGTACCGAAACGCCAAAACCAAGGCCTAGGCGCTTCCGACAAAGAAGAAGGGTAATTGAAGACGGAGAATTTCCGAGGGTCACCACCAATATGACCAGCAAAAGGGCATCGACAAGGGATAATCCCGAGTCAATTCCGCCGGTACCCCAGTATCTAACTCGTCTGAAGTCTGGAGCCATCATACGAACAACCTATGGTAGGGTTCGAACAAGACTCCCTTCAGAAGATGAAGAATCTGATGCCGGCTCTGCAGTCGCATCAGATAATACGGTATCCAGCGAGGGACAACCCCGCGAGTCACTTATGATAAGTGCGGAGCAAGTGGCCAAAATGCTTGAAGACGCTTTAGCTAAGCAATAGGAAACCTTCAGGTTCGAAATGCAGATGGCCATGCAAAACATGAGAGAGATGCATGACCAACAAATCTAGGCATTGACAAACCAGCAAGGCGAGCCAAGTCGTCGTAACCCGGTTAATCTGGAAGATGAGGACACAAATGCGAATGAGACGCATAACACCAATAATCCTCCCGTCAATGCAGGGGGTGGTAATGAGAATGCTAACGAAAACACAGGTGAAAACTTGAAGATTAAAAATCTCGAGAGCAAAATCAATACGTTGATTTCCGCTCAAGAGATGAATAAAACAGACATTCCTTGTCCATACCCAAGAGAGTGGGAATCAATCCCATATCCGGCGAAGTTCAACCTAATTAACTTCACGCCGTTTAATGGGATGGGTTCCCCCACTCAACATTTGATTTACTTCAAATCACACCTAGGGGTTATCTCTGGTAATGAGCCTCTGATGGTACGGTCCTTCGTTGGCACTCTTCGTGGAGCCGCTTTCGATTGGTATCGTCGCCTCAAGCCAGGAAACATAAATAGCTGGGACGACATGGAGACCAAATTCCTCGCCAACTTCTTCGACGACGACACAGAGATATCCATCGGATCGTTGCTAGACGAGAAGCAGAAAGACGGGGAATTGGTGGACACCTTCGTCAAAAGGTTTCGGAACAAGGCGATGAACTGTCGGGACCCGATCACCGAGGAATTCATCTTCCAGACTTGCCACAACAACCTCGCGCTGGACGTGTTGAAAGCAATGGGGACAGCACCGTCCAAGACATGGAAGGATCTGAAGGTCTGAGGAGAGCAGGCCGAGCGGTTCCTCAGAAGGAAGAAGGCAGAAAGAGGCCAACAGGTGAATAGTGCTCCGCAACAAAATTTCGTCCCACGGGGAAAAGGTAAGGCACATGCTAATACAGTTGATGCTAATCAAACTTTTCAATTGCAACCTCAGCAACAGCCGCAGCAACAAGCACCACCACAAGCTCGGGGGCAATGACAACAACGGCCTCAGAAGCAGAAATCCTCGGAGCCAAGGTTTCCTAAAGTATACTCCTTCAAGGATGACGAAGTTCCCGGCATCTTTAAGTACCTGTTGGAGAATAACAAAATCCAGCTGCCGGCGATTGTGGATCAAGAAGGGGCTAACAAAGTGAC